GCTGGGGAATTCTGGGAGTTGAAGTCCACTCCTCTTACAAGTTGCCATGGTTGTGAAACCCCGAATCGAAGAGATCCTACTCCAAAAGGGGTCTTGGATTTTAGTTCTGATGGATGGATTTTCCTACTGTTGTTTTGCAGACAACTGAGATGCATTCAGGGTGAAAAGGGTCTCAGGATCGAATGCAGCGTCCAAAGTGATGGTGTGAAAGGAACCAGCTTGTGTTTAGGAGCGTCCATGCTCCAAAAATCAACTCGCGTTTAAAAAAAAATGGTAATGTCAACGCATAAAACATTTCTAGGCCTGTTTTAGGGTTGCCGTGAACAGAAGGGAAGCGGGGAGAAATTTGAAAGAGCAGAGCGGCAGCTTGGAACCGAAAGTGCATTCCATTCTTATCTTGCAAAGACTGTAACTAAGCTACCGGATTTTCTGCCTCTCTAATTGGAGAATGTGATTGATGACTCTGAACGTGTTTCTGTTGGAGAATATGAATTATGATAACACCCAGAGGGGTGCAGGAAAACCAGGGTCAAGGGTGACAGTGAGTTACGTGTCTCAGAATCGGCTTGGTAATAAGTCATACCGACATGTTCGCTCCTAATAAATCCTTTGAAGTTTTTGAAGTTTGGCTCGAGGCTCATGGTTTAATGAGGGCGACTGCCGGAATCCTGATAGTTAATCTATTCTGGGGTTCCATCTGCTGGGGGAAGGAGATTAAGGGCTGTTTTTTTGTTTTTCCATCCTGAAATGCACTGGAATGAAACGCTGTTCAAGTCTACCAGCTCCAAATGAGTTTGAGAATCCCTCCAAAGGAGGCTGAGGTTCATGTCCGAAGAGATGGCCCAGTTCTGCCATCCCAGGGAAGAGAGTCCAGAGCGCACAGAAAGCATTAAAAAAGAGGCTCACAAAGAAAAATCCAGAATGAAGAACCAGCAATCAAGACGCACGCACAACAGACGGGCCCACAGGATTTCTCTCAACCCCAAAAGAGCCACTCACGTGTGCCGTAGCCCACCAAAAGGACGGCGTGGTCAATCATCCAGGGATTACACAGCACGAAGAAGGGGTGGGAAATGCCTTTGCGGTAGAACTGGAGAGGGAAGAAGAAGGAAAAAGGCAAATTAAAACGTTAATTATGGTAAGCAAGACCCCCAGGAATACAGAGTTGGAAGGTTATCTTGGAGGTCTTCTACTCCAATCCCCTGCCACAGGTGTCCAACTTTAAAACTTTAAGACTTGCTGGGTGTGGAATTCTGGGAGTTGAAGTCCACAAGTCTTAAAGTTCCTAAGGTTACACACCTTTACCCTACACCATTCCAGACAAGTGGCTGTCCAATCTTTTCTTTAAAATCTCCACTGTTGATTTGGACTGCAGAAAAAACAATGGCAACCAATCTGCCTTCCATCGAGGACCTGTATACTGTACGGGTCAAAAAGAGGGCTGTGAAAATATCTACAGACCCCTCACATCCCGGACATAAACTGTTTCAACTCCCACCTTCAAAATGACACTATAGAGCATTGCACAACAGGACAATTAGACACAAGGACAGTTTTTCCCCGAACGCCATCGCTCTGCTAAACAAATAATGGCTGCCCCTTTGCTGGCTTTGCACCAGGATTTCATTGCATTTGGGGAGAGGGGAGGAAATCTCTCTCCGGTATACTGTGTGTCTGTTTCTTTTTCTTTCTTTCTTTCTTTCTTTCTTTCTTTCTTTCTCTTTCTTTCTTTCTTTCTTTCTTTCTTTCTTTCTTTCTTTCTTTCT